TCAATAATTCTATCTTGAGTGGAACAAATGTGTGTTCAATAAGCTAGCATTTGCCTTTTACAGAAACAAACGAGTGCCAGTCAAATCCATGTCATAATGACGCTCTCTGCGTAGACCTATTCAATGGATATTGGTGCGATTGTAAGTTATTTAACTTTTATGGAATATTTAAATATGAAGAATCGTCATTCATTGCTGCTACTCAGAGCAGTAACTAATATATATTTATCTGTAGACTGCTGGAATTATGATATATGTTTTGGTGGTGTTTGTATCAATGAACCAGCGGGTTCATTCACATGTGATTGTTCAGCAGGTAAGAACCATTTGAAAATATTATTATGCAATATCATATGATTTGTCAGTGCATGATAATCTTGTTCAAATATAGCTAGTGTGTATTAAAAGGCGAATTTACCATACAGTTGCCATGGCAATATATATTTTAGTTTGGCTATTTTTAGTGCTTTTGTCAACTGAGTCTTTCCCCAAGCTATGATTATCTGCATACATTTGAAAGCAATGCAGTAAAGACGGTTTAAGACCCCTTTACTTTTTTTAGCATAAACTCAGAGAGCAGACACTACATTGTCATGGATTTAAATGTATTTAACAAATTCAATTCTATTATTTTGTACAGCCGAGTGGGCACGATATCAGGTCAAATATTACCCCAAAACACCTAATCATAGTTAATATTTTGATCACCTCGTGTGCGTGTTCTCAGCCAGTTTAACAAATGAATACACAATTCTTGTAAAACACGGTTAATTTATATTGATGAGCACCAATATAGTTTATTCCAATTATATACATATGCAAATAAATAGAAACAAGAGGGCACTGGTCAATATTACACACACATCTCACATGAACTAAGTGTAACCATAGTTTATTAGATGCAACACTCATCCTTGATATAGTTCTCATCTCCCGTAGTGACATCCCTCTGTGTGATAGTTCAGTGCACCCGACGGAAAAACACAGAACAAACACCAAAATGCCGGTAATGGTCACGCAATAAGAGTGAGAAACAACATTCAATAATCTTTATATAAATATTTTTTTTTAAATAAAGAAATCAGCATAGTATAATATATGAAAGCAAAGAACTAACTAGTGTGCGTGTGGGAATTTTCGGTGCCTTCATGTTCCAAACTAGTGTCAAGCAATTCGTTTGAGGACAATACAGCCACCAGTGTGGAGGTCATCACCCCAGCAAATTTAAAATAACCGGAGAAGGTTGAACGCCGGGTTTGGCTATGGCGGTACGTGCAACCCCGTTGAACAATGCAGTTTACACAGTTTATTGTTAATTGGTTTCCAGCATATGTACATTTATCACCAAGTGTAGTGAAGTCCAGTATGACATTAGGGCGACCCCCTGTGGCATCTAGCATACCTTCTTTCAGACATTTGTAGTTCAGTGTTAAATGAGCCTAACCCGGGGATATAAACCGTATCCCTAGGTTAGGGTAGTTATCAGTTTATATTATAATTAAATGCCCGTATTAATCTTTAGTTTACGCCAAGTAATTCGTTATATAAATAAATAGATAATTACATCTCCCGTTTCTTAAAGTTTGATATGATATTTAGTTAAAATTTGTTAAATCTCGGTTTTAAAGCGTCTAGGAAAAGGTCTGAAGCAATCTCTGAAAAACACACATTTAAACAAAACATTGGCCTACATGATAACGTACTGGCGTAGAAGTGTTTCAATCTAAATCTTATTAGTATTGCAGACTTTATAACGAGCGTTTCCACAATATATATATTAATAATATATATTATTATACATCTGTCACCGTCACGTCATAAGTTACAGCGTGCCGTAATTTTGCGGTATTTTATGGGGTATTTTCATTCTATCACAATAAGAAACGCGAATTCAAAATATAAAACGATTACGCGTGTGAGCGTCCTCTAATAATAAAAAACAAACATGACTGCCCCCAGGGTTTGACCGGACCCAACACAAAGAAGTTCGCTAAATATGTTCGTAAAATCTGTTCTAAATTCGAACAGTACGCGGTCAGTCGATACTTCCACCGTCTTCGTGCATACTTTGCAGTATCCTCGTAATACCCTCATAGTACTACCATACGGCAACCACATATTAGGAGTTGCAAGTGTGTTTGTATTGCGTAACGTCTTTATTTGTGTTTGGACAGGTTAGCCACACAGAATAAAACATTGATGTGCTGTCAAAAGAAACATTTTATTTATTTGAATGCTCATTTCATGGTTGTATGTAATATTGATTTGTACACATCATTCCATATATATTGTACATATTGCCTTTTTTGATAACAGGAGGTGAACTGGTAAATATAGCATTGGGGAAAACAGTCACACAAAGTAGTACAAATGTTTGTATGTAATATTGTAAATATAGCATTGGGGAAAACAGTCACACAAAGTAGTAC